CACCTTGGTCTAAGTTCAGTAAGGGGAGAAAGACCTCTGGAAAGGTCTCAGAGGAAAGATCGCTACACTCGCGACTCCTACCTTTTGGGTGCTGAGGTTCACAGTTTGCCTAGGGCACCAATTACCCATGGACCGCCCTGACTGTTCCTCTCCCACTTGGAGCCTCCGGAGTCTGGGAGAGGGACCGGACATGGGCATGAGTGCCTGGTGCCTCCTTAACCTGGGGGCGCACCTGCAGAAGCCACTGACTCTGTCAGGGGGGGAACAGCCTTACCAACAGCATCAGTGTCAGCCATCGGGGGACACCAGACTCGTCGGGGGGCACATGCACCCACTGCCAGTCGCCTGTGGACATGGGCTTGGAAGATAGGGGCAGCAGGAGCAGGGAAATGGGGGCCACGGCCTCTAAATCACAAGGTCTGGGGTCCAGTGTCCCAGACCCTGCAATTCACAGGCCATGCCCCTCACTCCCACTGCCCCGCTCCTCCAAGCCCATGTCCAGTCCCTCTTTAGATCTGGCTACAGCATCGGCTTCCATGGTTGCACACCTGAAGGATGCGCTGTGTGAAAAAGAGCTTCCTTGGAGGGGCCTGGGATCCCACTGCTGTTGTCCATGAGGACGGCTGGTGAACAGCAGTGTTTTCCCCAGTATTTCTTTCTAACTGCTGCCCTGGAAGCATTTGCCACCCCAAATACTTCTTTATTCTCTACCTGCGCAGTTAAAAGCTCAGCATTGCACCTCTCTGCTGCCCCACGCTCACCCCACAGAAGTACCACAAGCAGGTGGTACTGTAAGTACCACATGCTTGGTAAGTGTATCAGTTTGAAAACAAACCAAATTTAATAGAAAAGCCTATTGCCAAACAGCTGACATAAGTATGCATCTAAGTGAGTAATGAGTATTTGAGCTACGAACAGCTGTACCAAAGCAGAGCTGAAAATGCTCCAGCTTGCTACAGTGATGCCTTTGCTAATACACCTATTATTCCCAAAGAATTTGAGCAATTGAAGTGCGTGGCATTGTTTGTAGCAAGCTTGCATTAACTACGTGCGGCTCATTTCATTTGTTGAAGTATTATTAGGCAACGTTTTAAAAAGCGGACTTTATTATTTCTTTTACAATAATGCTTATAGGCGGGGTTTGAATTATACTTTTACTCTTGGAGAGGGGTCTGCAAAAAAAAACCCCAAATGGTTCATTCATTAACAAGTCCACCTAAGTGAAGGAGTAATCTGATTGGAGGCCCGCCAGGTTACAATTTTCAAATCTTACAAGGGGGCTCAGACCCTCCCCCCCGAGCTCGCCCTTAATTTGTACTCTGTTTATAGGCCATAATCAAGATTGCAACTTTAACTATATGCTCATACAGTGCCTAGCAGCATAGAGAAGTCTGTGTCCCAAACAGTTTATTATCTAAATAGTTCTAACAGCTAAACGACATAGGGGAAACACAAGCACAGAGGTATGAAGTGATTTGCTCAGGGTCACACAGCAGATCAGTGGAGGATTGAGAACTAAACCTCATGGGCCTCTGTCTTCTGATTCCCAGTTCACTACACTGTCCTCTAGACCCATGCAGAGCCCTGCAAGCTGATGATATGGCCCTGCATGCTAGATCACGCCAGTCCATGGTGGGGCCGGCGCTTGGGATCTTTCTGTGGCCAGATCCAGCATGTGGGGTCAAGCAGTGCATGGCCAGACATGATACGAGGTTCAGACCACCGTCAGTGAATGGAATTGTACCCACATGCCAACCAGGCCCACATCACTCATCCAGGCTGGGACAGGGTAGGAGATTGAGCACCCCTGCTCTAGACCAGTCTGCCAATCTTCTCAGCAGTTAAGAGTGTACAATTACAGCTTTATAGCCATGTTGGCACACCCATGCCTGCAGGATGCTAAAAGAGCTGTGTGCAGACAGAATCAAATATTTGAAATAAATCATTGCAAAATATAGATGAGACAGTACTGGTTCATTGCGCTCTTAGGATCAGCAGGATAGGAGTTCGCCTTCTCTTGGAAAACAGCTTCTCGTTATTCATTGTGTTATGCTTTGATAATAATACCTGGCTCTCATATAGCATCTTTTTCATTTTTAAGGTAAACATATTTAAATAAGTCATGCAGAATTACCGTGCCCACTATACAAGACAGCCCAGGAAAAACTGTGATGCCCAGAGTTACAGTCTCTAGTTTCCCAGTATCCATCTCGACAGCTTCAAAGAGGGGTACACTACACCAAGCTGAAAGTTGACACACAAGTTTTCTTAAGTGCCAATGAAAGTATGCCAACAGACGCATTTGCTTGTCCACATCAGCCAGTTTATACAAAGGTAGGAGAATGTGAGCACTTCGCAGATCCTTCTGCTCCCTGCCTGCTAGAAGCAGTGGAAGGTGGCAAAGAGGTACAAGGAAGAGGTGTCTTTTCTCCTCCCCTGCATCCTGCTAATACAAAGGGTAGGTTATAATTGAAGTGGCCAACCTGCAGCATGCATGTCATAACTGGCACAGGCAGCCTGTGTGCGTGTGCAATACGACAGATCAAGGAGGAGACAAGCACCACGGTGACAGATAGGGAAGGAAGCAGAAAGCAGAGCATCAGATTGGGAAGGGGAAGGGAATTGGTGGAGCACTAAGGGTGGATGAGGGACTGATCAAAACATTGGTCCCCAGTGGGCTATAATATCCTCGATAAGGTAAGAAGATATTTTTGTACCTATTTAAAGAGGAGGAAAATGAGGCACTGAGAGGTTGTGCATGAGCTAACATTGCACACTGATGCAAGAGCAGATCCAGAATCATAGTTAGGCAGTTCCTGGCTCTATCCTACCCTCAGTCTGCTAGTGTAAGTTGATGCTAACAAGGTCCTTTTTAGCTGGATCTGCATTAGACCTAGAATAATGATTGAGTTTGGCTTAATGTGAGAATCAGGGTTAAGATTCAAATTTGGTGCCAAATTTATATAAACAGCTTTTTGTGAAATGTGGCTATTTTAAATGATTGAAACCTTGCCAGTGTGGCTGTTGTTGCAAGATTTCCATAGTCTGAAGCTGTAATCTTGTGAAAATAGTGTCATTTAGAAATGAAAGGGTTAGCCCTAGGTTTTTAGGAGTTTTTTGTCCAGAGTCTTACCTGAAACCAAAACTCTAGAGGTAGTGTTTATATCTAGGTACTGACATTTTTTAAGCAGTCCAGTCTGAAATTTCAGTTTTGGTCCATAACTAACAGGGCAACCTCTACCCAAAGGTCTCACATCATTTCACAAATACTAGGCAATTGGTTAAGTTTCATAATGGCCAAAGGAGATGCATGAGGTGATTACTGTTCTTATCTCAGATGTTGGGAAACTGAGGCAGTGTTTAAATGATCTGTCCAAGATTGCACAGCAAAACAGGGTCAGAAAGGAGATAAGGAAGTTCTGGGCTTTTGTGTTCGTGGTAACTTGAAAAGGCCATATGCACTCTTGTGAAGATACTTCCTTCAGCACATTTCTTCAGATGTAAGTTGTGTTTGGTGTGTAGCTTAGCTTCCTCACATAACCAGTTATTACACTTCTCTATCCTTCCACTTAAAATGCTGCTGTGAGCTGTAGCTGTTCACTACTTTTTTCTTTTTCTTTTTTTCTCTTTAACCAGTCTTTTTAACTTTTTCCTTTTTCTTTTCTTTTTTGCCAGTCTTGTTTTCTTTTCTTGGAAATTCATAAAAATCTCCCCTTTTGGTTTATTCACCTAATTTATTAATACTACAAATTACTTTTCTATGGTGACCCACTTTCTTGGGTCTCTGGGCATTTAACAAAAATGTAATTACTCCTGAAAGCAGGGTAGCTAATAAATATTAGAGCAGGTGCAGAGTTGAAACCAAAACACTTCTTCTTCCTCCTTGCACAGAGCTCTCAAACCTGCCCCCCCCCTTCAATTAAATCACTGTATCTCCTTTCTCATCTTAAAAGCACAACCAAAAGAAAACAGCTTAACTACTGAATGTTTGATTCAGGGGACAAAATTTAGGATATTTTATGTCCTTGTGGCTGAATTCATTTCTATGCCATCTCCAGGGTGAAGAGATTATTGTCTGTGCATACATTTTTAAATATGGTTTTGAATCAATAACAAAACAAAAAGACTTTCTCTTATAAAAGCAGTGCCAGGGAAATCACACCGAGGCTGTTAGCTGAGAGCTTGGCCTTTACTGAACTATTGGGTTTACTTTGTAAAAGTCCTGATTTTCCCTAAACTTCCCTTATCAAACACATGGGGGTATAGTCCTGCAGAGTGCAATATGCTAAGACAGGGGTTAGGAATGCTTTTGGGGAGAGTGCCAAAAACACCCACAACTTCAACTTGTAAGATGTTGGCATGCCGGGGCAGACAGCGGGGGAGCCACCAGGCACCTGATCCTTGTTGTGGCAGTGCAGCCTCAGCCCCTTCCCTGGCATCCACCTGCCGCCAGCAGGGAGCTGGGCTGGACCCTGGTGCAGCTGCTTGCCGCCTCCTGGCTGCCTGCCATAGCTGGATCAGGCTCTGGGCAGGCCCCTGCCACCTGCCATGGACCCCGGGTTGCTTGTAGCAGGCAGTGGAGAGGCTGCAAGCAGCTGCATGGGGGTCTGTAGAGCCCTGGCCCACCTCATTGCCAGTGGTGGATGTATATGCATCTCGAGGTGGATGGCAGGGAAGGGGCCAGGGCTGCACTGCCGCAACAAGGATCGGACCCTCGTGGGTCCTCCACCGTCTGTCCGGGGGCGTGTGCCAAGCAAAATGCCTTCACCTGCCACACTGGCACACATGCTGGAAGTTGCCTACCCCTGCGGGAAGAGCTCCTCAAATATTACTGATGTTTTCAAGGGCAGCTTGTCTCACAATGCATAATTCTGGTGTTGGACCTCTCAGAATGCTTGACATTGCTGCTGTCCCCAGAAAGTCTGCCAGATAACGATGCTGTTCTGCAAAACTTGAGGCTGATTTGGTGTCTTCTGATGCAGATTTGTTTTTCTTTTCAGCAAGTGTGGACGTCTGTGTAAGTGTGAGACCATCATGGTGGCGTTTAAAGGAGTCTGGACTCAGCCTTTCTGGAAAGCTGTTTCAGCAGAATTTTTGGCCATGCTAATTTTTGTCCTCCTCAGCCTTGGCTCTACAATCAACTGGGGTGGAGCTGAAAAGCCCCTCCCTGTAGACATGGTCCTTATTTCTCTCTGCTTTGGACTCAGCATTGCAACTATGGTACAGTGTTTTGGACACATCAGTGGAGGCCATATTAACCCTGCTGTGACTGTTGCTATGGTCTGCACTAGGAAGATCAGCCTTGCCAAGTCTGTCTTCTACATTGTTGCCCAGTGCCTGGGGGCTATTGCAGGGGCAGGACTTCTCTACCTTGTCACACCCCAAGATGTGGTGGGAGGCTTGGGAGTTACTATGGTAACAACTTTTCCTCCTACTCTTAAAGCAGAATAATTAGACAATACAGTTACTGTTGCATAGTGATGCTTTAAGGTTATTGCTGGCTTATTTATAACTCCTAGATTTTTTTAAGCTCTCATTAGGACAAGTTCATAGCTATTATTTTACAGAAGTTTTCTTTTCTAGAACTTCCCCAAATCTGATGAGAACAGGTAATGCTTATTTACATACACAATTTAAATAATACATGCATGAAATACAACTTTAAGATGACTTGTGTAGGAAATTAATTCTATGTCTTTATAATGGTGATTGAAAAAAATATCAATTTAAAATGACACACTTTTGAAATAGATTGTGCCTTAGATTTCAGCTTTGTTCTAAACTAATAAGGAATGCCATCAGTTAGCCCTGTTGCAGGACTTATTAAAATGCACTTGAGCCGCATACTGCTTAATTTTTAATTGAAATTTAAATTAATTAAGCTGGGGCTAATTAATGAATTTATAATTGAATAGTATATTACAGCGCTCCCAAGAAGAAAATTGTGCAAGTTTAAGTGCAGCATTTGCAAATCCCTGTGTAAAAGTCAACTGTGTTCTGTAGTTTAACTTTGAAGTTCTTAGTGGAATAACGTAGAACTTTCTTCATCAGTCTAACAGGAATTTTCTATGGCTGTCAGAATAAAAAGTGTGGAAAATTAATTCAAACCTCTATAAAGTGCAATGGTGTTTCATCATTGTGCACCATTTTAAACTGTCTTAATCACAAAACAATTAAAATTTGAGTGCCTGTTTGAATTGCAGACTCACATTTGCTTCATCTCTGTTTCTTTTTTTTTTTCCCAGGTACATGGCAATCTCTCCGCTGGCCATGGACTCCTGGTGGAGTTGATAATTACATTCCAGCTGGTTTTTACTATTTTTGCCAGCTGTGATTCAAAACGAAAAGACGTCACTGGTTCAGTAGCTTTAGCAATTGGATTTTCTGTTGCAATTGGACATTTATTTGCAGTAAGTGAATGGCTTCTCAGTAATAGAGATTTTCCAGTGTCCCCACTCCAGAACTAGGCAGGAGAGCCTGCAGCCTTTGCAGCTGCTGTGGATCCAACCCAAAGCTCATTGAAATCAACAGGGAGGCTTTCCAGAGAGGACCTTAGTCTAAGCCTTATCTGCCTATTTATGTGATGCTTTTGTTAGTTGTATGAGCAGAATGGTAAGTGGACTGGAGGATGATAATGCCTCTAATACTACAATGATGAACAGCAATACAAAACCAGAGATTCCTACATTGCAGCAAATGACAGGAGTGACTAGCATTGGCTGAATACTAATCTTCTAATAACAATAACATTTAACCTTTTATATTTTTATAGATCAACTACACTGGTGCCAGTATGAACCCTGCTCGATCGTTTGGACCTGCTGTTATTATGGGAAAATGGGAAAACCAATGGGTAACCCTGCATTTATGTTTCATTTACCATTACAATGCCACCGAGCATTTCTTTAATTCCCCTCAACTTTTTTCTTGTTCTTCATAGCACATTCCACACAGACCATTAATGA